GTAAGCATAGTGTTTAGCACACTGACAGATTATCATCCCAAATGCTGCAGACAAGAAGTGTTTCAGGGTTCCGGATTTTTTTTTTTTTTTTTTTTTTGGTTTTGGAATATCTGTTGTACATGTAACTTAAGATATATCAGGGATGAGACCCAACTCTGAACACGTTTCATATAGACCTTATGTGCATAGCCTGGAGGTAATTTTCAACAATATTTTTAGTGCCCCTCTGTTTTGACTGAGACCTCTTACCTATTCCAAGTGTGTGGAATTTTCCACTCGTGGCCTCATGTTGGCACTCAAAATGTTTGAATTTTGGAGCATTTCAGATCTACAGTTTCTAGACTCGCTCCACTCAGCCTGGTTCAGGTGCTGACTGGAGAGTCGGGAAGAGCCATGGCTCACAGACGTGTTGAAGGTGGAACCACGAAAGCCTACCTGTAGGAAGATACCAAAGCCCTTGCAATTTTCAGAGTGACTTCACACGCGCCAGGCCCTGGGCACGTTTTCTTTCTCCCAGTGATGCACAGCATCTGTGCCAGGTTCCTCCCTTCTTAACCTCATCCTCCCCTTAACCAGCATCCCTTACTCTCAGCGATATTTGAAGACCCCTTTTACTGTGTCTGAATGAAAGTTGCTAAATTTATGTGTTTGCATACATAATTTTGAAAATATCAAACTTTAAAGGAAAATTCAAAGAATGTGGTTAACATTAAAATGTGCTAGGGGCAGGCTTTCAGTGCAGTGGTTAAAATGCAGCTTACGATGCCCGCCTCCCCTCTGGAGAGCCTGGGTTTTAGTCCTGGTTTTGCCCCCTTTCCCAGCTTCTTGCTAATGTGCATCCTGCAAGGCAGCAGTGATGGCCCAAGTACCTGAGTCCCTGCCATCCGCACAGGAGACCTGGGCGGAGTTTCAGGCTCCTGATTCTGTGCTAGTCCTTCTCCCGGCTGTTGTAAACACTTGGGGAGTGAGCCAGAGGGTGGAAGAACTCTCTGTATCTGTCTGTCTGTCTCTCTCTCCCCTCCCCCTGAATTTCTTTGCCTTTCAAATAAAAATAAGTAAATAAATATTTTAAATACACATTTTATTATGTAAATGCCCAGACATGACTACACCAGAAGACATAGTGGAGTAGTTGGGCAGAATGTGAGTGACAGTTACTGACCAGATGATGTAGGCACGTTGTGTTAATAACTCAAGTGGCAAGGCCATTTGTGATGTTCTCTCCAGGGGTGGGTGACATTGGTGAAGTTCAAAAAAGAACAGGGTGCATAGTCTTCTCTTAGTTATTAAGTTACTTTCATTCCTGAGAACTGACAGTGTATACAAACCATGCAGACATCCTCATTATACGTGTGACACCGAGGTCAGTGCCACCTTCAAGTCATTTTAAGCAGATTTTCACTTACAAAAATGTCTGATGGCACTTTGCAAAGCCTCTCGGGGATGTGGGACACCTGGCATTCCTGCCTCCTGTCCGTGCGATGCCAGAGGACCCCCCCCACACACACACACTGTGACGGCCAGAGGCATCCCTGTACCCCCAGCTCTGAGGGAGCAGCCCCATCCCAGCGGGAACCAGCGGCCTGGGTGACGTTGGCTGTTAGGTTTGAGTCACATAACTCGCGGCTGGTGGCAGACGTGGGAGGACCTGGATGCCGTGCCCAGGAGAGGAGCTGGCTGTATAGCTTTCTTCCATCCAGGGGAGCCGTCGTTCTCCCAAATGGTTAGCTCTCACTTTTCCAACCTGCTCACCATTTCAAATCGTGAGCCCTGGTAGGGGATAAAATGAGAAAGACAGATAATTTATAGGGGGCAAAGAATGCAAACCCTTTTTGGCTTATTATGTTAGGGGCCAACAGATCCAGTCTACCTTGGCTCATTGATAGGCGTCCACGTTCTGGGTCTGCGATGGTTGGGAGCCATCTCGTTCTAACATGAAACAGTTTTGAAGTTTAATTCTTGTCTCCCTTTAAACTCTAGGTCTGCTCGCAGCCCAGCCTTTCTCCTTTCCCGGTTGGTGATGTGCATAGTCGCAGCTAATCCCTCCTGGCATTTGCCTTGTGCACAGTGCAGCGGGCCCAGCCGATGTGCCTGATTGTTCAGTATTAGCACGCTGCAGGCTGCCTTCTGCTGGGGAGTCTTTAAGCAAATAAACCCAAAGGGCAAGCTCCCAAACCCTAGCATCTCGAGCCTTGGACTTTTCCTTTAGTGACACCCACACACATCCCGTGATTCACAAATAGGGTGTGCTGTAGCTAATTTGTCAACAGCGATTTGTCCTAAAGATACCAGGCGCACTTCAAAGGCATGCTAGATTATAATGTCCCAAGGCCATAATTCTGTGCGCAGCCTTATCCTAAGACAAAGCGTCTTTGTTGGCCAGTCAGGTGCACACTGTTATCAGGGCAGCAGCTGGGGGCTTGTGAGAAAATCAGAAGTAAAGCAGACCCTGTGAACGCTCAGGGAGCCTGTTGCAGGGCTGGGAAGACTCATCTCTGTTACAAGTGCTGAGCACAGAAAAGAGAGGGTGGGATGCTGATGGAGTCTTCGGGCGGCTGGCAGTTTGCTCTGGGGGAGGTGGATTGGACTTTCAGACTTGAGGACCTTGAAGATGCATTAACGCTTAGACAGGTAAACCACTTTAACTGTTGAGGACTGATTTTCTGAGGGAAGTGTCCTTCCCATCTCTTAATCATGTGCCCTCTCCAGTTACTGCAGAGCTGACTTTGCATAGTTGTGATAATTGACATAAAGAGATAGCGTTCAACATCGCGACCTTTCTGGAAAAGAGCTCTCTCATTTAAAACCTGATCCTTTCTTCTAAGCTTTCCTTCTGTCCATGGAGGAAGTCCTTTCACGTCACCATGATGTTTCAAAACCCTGAGGTGCCTTTGACTCAAGTTAAGGTGCAGTCACCCAGAAGGCAGGTCTGTGAGGACCTGTGTAACGAGTTCAGTTGTACAGTGGGAAAGGGTTCCTGTTACCAGGTGAGTCCCGGGTGTTAACTTGAGGACAGCATAGGAGCCACGTCAGGGCCTCGCAAGGCTCCCTGTGTGGTCTGTGCTGGCCTCATTAGACTGTGTGTGGGGACTTGGGGCTCCCTGCTACTGGCCTGGACTAAGTATCTCCTAGCACCTCAGGTCTCTGTCTGCTCTGCCTGCTAGAGGCTGGAGCCTTTTGGTAGAGCATCTTAGTCAACGTGGAATTTTGGACAGAATGACACATTTGCAAAATTTAATGACCACGTGTTGGAAATATATCTGATCTGGATGAAGGTTTCTGGGTGCATATGTGTATATGTGTGTATATAGTCATTGAGTTGTAGTTTTAAGGTGTGTACATGTCATATATGTTATATCTCAATTAAAAATGTAAAAATAATTGGGGTTGGCATTGTGGTATAGCGGGTGAAGCCTCTGTGATGCTGGCATCCCATATGGGTGCCAGTTCAAGTCCTGGCTGCTCCACTTCTGATCCAGCTCCTTGCTAATGGGCCAGGGAAAAGCAATGAAAGATGGCCCAAATACTTGGGCCCCTGTACCCATGTGGGAGACCTGGAGGAAGCTCCTGGCTCCTGGCTTCAGTCTGGCCCAGCCCTGGCTGTTGCAGCCATATGGAAACTGAACCAGTGGATAGAAGATCTCTCTGTCTCTCCTTCTCTCTCTCTGTAACTCCGAGTTTCAAATAAATAAACAAATTTTTATTAAAAATATAAAAATAATAACAGTAAAACTCAACTATCCCAACCATGGGGGGATTGTCAATTTTGATTCATCCTGGAGGTAGTTTAGCAAGGGTTTATGCATTTTTGGACACTCTGAAATAACTTTTCAGAAATTTAATGTTTTTCTTTTAAAATTCTTTAGCAGTTGAAATGACCAAAATGGCCAATAAGGGAAGATTAATTGTAATAACTGTTTTTTTCTTTTCAAAACTGGGCACAGTTTAGTAGAATAATAGCTGGCCAAAGGAGAAAAATTTTTGAAACCCAAAAAAGGGATGGAGGAAAGGAATTTTCTGGACAAAGAGGATGAAAATACTTGCTGTACAACCATTCTCTGATGCTTCAAGATTTCTGAAGTTTAAATACCTAAAATGTGAAGATATTAATTTTTAGCTAACTCACTAATTTGATCTAGTTGTCATGTTTTGTGTTTATTCCCTTGTATCTACTCTCATATTTTTCAGCTAATTCTTTTTTTTTTTTTTAAAAAGATTTATTTATTTATTTGAAAAGCAGACTTACAGAGAGGGAGAGGCAGAGGGAGAGGTAGAGAGAGAGAGAGAGAGAGAGATCTTCCATCTGATGTTTCACTTCCCAAATGACTACAACAGCCAAGGCTGGGCCAGATCGAAGCCAAGAGCCAGGATCTTCATCCTGGTCTCCCAAGTGGGTGCAGGGACCCAAGCACTTGAGCCATCTCTGCTGCTTTCCCTAGGCATCAGCAGGGAGCCGGATCAGAAGTGGAGCAGCCGGGACTTGAACCGGCACCTGTATGGATGGGGTGGTGGCGCTGCAGGCAGCTGCTTGACATGCTGCACTACAGCACCGGCCCCTCAGCTAATTCTTAAACCAACCCTCACCCGCACACACACACACACACACAACTTCTGACCTGAAACTGGTAGTGTTCGGTTAGCCTTCGGATGAAGCCCAGCAGTGCGTGAACAATGACTGCATGATGGCAAAGTGAACAAAAGCAGAACTTGCAGTAGAATCTTTCCTTTCGGCCGTGGTTGCGGGAGTTCAGACACTAAGGAGAGCGAAGTGCCGGTCCAGGGAGAGCTTTCAAGAAAATCCAATTTGATGTCACTCCATGATCACATTACATCTAGAAAGTGCAGGGGCTGAACGGCAATTAAATTTGCATTTCCTCTCCCCAGCCAAGCCAGCCAGGCTGGCCACCTCCCAGGCAGTTGCAGATAGCGTGGAGTGCTTCGTAACGTCATTATGTTTTCTGAAAGAGTGACGTTGAACATGAACTCTTGTGTTGGAACAGGACAGCTGGGAAGTGGTGGAAGGCCTGAGGGGGGAGATGACCTACACCCAGGAGCCGCCCATCCAGAAAGGATTTTTGCTGAAAAAGAGGAAATGGCCCTTAAAAGGCTGGCACAAGGTAAGACGTGGACCCCGGCCTCCCCTTGGCTCCTATCTACCTGCAAGGCCCCTTTGTGTACCCGGCTCTGAAACTCTGACCTGTCATTTGGAGCCGACACTTGAGATGAGAGGGACAGCATTTCAGTGCAGTGTCTTAATGAGCCATCCTCTCTTCCCCAGAGGTTCTTCTATCTGGACAAAGGAATCTTGAAATACGCCAAGAGCCAAACTGACGTAAGTGTCCCTGTTGGTGCAATGTGCTATGAGGAATTGTAAAGGCTGGTGTCCATCTGAGCCCTTCTGTTCACTGAACTGAAACCTTGGTGGCTCCTGTCTTCTCTGGGGGGAACAGCAGGGCTGGCTCCCCAGTGTCTTGGTGCCAAGTGCTAGAAGGGCTCAGCTCACCTGCCAGGTGGAACGCCAGGGGCTCCTCCACTACCCCACTGAGTATCCAAAGAATGTTTTGGTCCCAAGGTTGTGCTCAGGGGTTCACTGGCTGGGAGAAGATACCTTTGCTGGCTGCGTGACCTGCTTTCTCCTTAACGCCCCCAATCCTCAGTCTTCTCATCTGTAGTATGGGGAGAGTGCTTCCTACCCCACGGATTGAGAAAGAGGGTGCAGTGTACCGGCGCACACCAGGGACGTGACAAGCAGCAGCGTTTGTGTTTACTACTGGTGGATGTGGAAGGAGAGGGGAGAGGACGGGATCGCTTGGGATGTCACTTTAACCCCGTGGTTCTCAAGCGGCCGCTTGGCGCCCTGCAGGTGGAGAGGGAGAAGCTGCACGGCTGCATTGATGTGGGCCTGTCAGTGATGTCTGTGAAGAAGTCGTCCAAATGCATCGACCTGGACACCGAGGAGCACATCTACCACCTGAAGGTGAGGCTGCGCCCGGGCCTCGGGGCTGCCGGGAGGGGTTGTCAGCGGCTGCCCGTGGACCGCTGCCCGTGGGTGTTCCGCCAGCGTGAACGTGTGAAGATCTTCATGGCCATCGTGTTTCTGATGGACACCACTGCTATTTGGCCGCAATAGTTCTGCACGTGCAGGATGTCCCATGCACTGCTGAAAAGCTTAGCATCCTGCTGCCTCGTCCCTTCTCCCCCAGCGCCCTTTGTGTGTCCATCCCTGCCCTCTTCAGGCAGATGTACCATCTGTGGTGAAGAACCATTTACCCTAGCATAGAACGTGTGTCCTGAAATGCAGTGTAATGGTTAATCTGTGGGAACCTAACTGTATGGGATTCCATTAAAGTTTCCATCTTCTAGTGAAAGGTTTTCCCTAGGAAGTTTTCCCCGAAAGTGTGGGTCTCCAGAGAGTACCTCTCACAGCTGTTTACTGTCTTGTGCATACTTGCGCAATCTCTCCTACAGGTGGTCTAGATCATCAGAAGCAGGAAGAATGAGATCCAGATCTGGTTCACATCTTTTTTTTTTTTTTTTTTTTTAAAGACTGTTATTATTCATTTTAGAGATAGAGTTACAGACAGAGGGGGAGTCAGAGAATGGTCTTTCATTCACTGGTTCACTTCCCAAATGGCCGGAGCTGGGCTGATCCAAAGCCAAGAGCTTCTTCTGGGTCTCCCATGTGGGTGCAAGGGCTCAAGCACGTGGGCCATCTTCTACTGCTTTGCTTTGTCTCAGGCCATAGCAGAGAGCTGGGAAGAGGAGCAGCTGGGATATGAACCAACACCCATATGGGATGTCGGCACTGTAGGTGGAGTCTTGGCCCACTATGCCACAGCGCCGGCCCCTGGTTCACATCTTGACGTGGCTACCTGCTCATTTGAACTCTGGCAAATTATTTAATCACTGAAAGTCTCACTTTTTTTGCCTAAAAAAATGAAAAGTAATGAGCATGCTAGTCTTGTCAGACTGCATGTGGAGACTTGACATAATGGCTGGCCCATAATACACTTGGTAAGTTTACTTATTGTACATAAACAGTGCCTGAGTGATGAGGTGGTACCCCAGTGATAGAAATTCATTGAAAAAATGCTCAAACTCTTTTCTTCCATGAGCAGACTACATGGGATATTGAGAATGAGGGCTGACGGTTAGGGAAAGGAAGGCACAAGGTCGAGCTCTGTGTCATAACCTACCCTGTCCCCTCCATGGTGTGTGTGTGTGTGTGTGTGTGTGGACCCAGCAGCACGGATTTGACACATGCGTGTGTGGTTGGTGGCATGGACGAGACGGACAAATCCACACCCTCTGCCCGACTAACCCTGCCCCTCTGGGTGTGCTCAGTGGTGCAGAAGCCGGATTTCTCAGTCTGGGTGCTGCCAATCGTGGGCTCGGTAATGCCTTGTTGTGGGGACTGCCCTGGGCATCGTAGGATGGTGGGGCAGTGGCCCTGGCCTCTCCCACTAGACCCTAGAGCATCCTTCCCCAGTGGTGACAACCAGAAATATCTCCAGACCATCCCCCAGAGTCCCCTGGGGGGCAAAATCATCCCTGATTGTGAACAGTCTGTGGGAAGCAAAGGAGGGAAAAGCCTGTGGTCGTTAAGAGGAGGAATTAGGAAGCCGTACTAGCCCCGCCTCCCCTCCCCTCCCCCACCCCCCATCTCAAAGGTCAGTCTCCACCAGAATTTAGATTATTTCCTGCCTGTACTTCCAGTGGCTCTTAGTTCTGTGTTTTGACAGAGTCAGGAAATAATAGGTTCTTATCTATCCACTATTCTAGTTAACGGAATAAAAGCAATTTTGAATTCCTAGCTTTTAAAGAATTAGAATGCCTTAACATAGGTGGCGTACTTAAGATCATGATTAGCAGAGTTTCTTGTCTGTGGGGTTCCCTTCGTGTGCTGTTTGGTGTCCTGCTCCTTTTCCTGACCGTCAGCCGTGACAACCACTGTGGGCGAGTGCGGGTGCTCGGGGCTTCCAGTTCAGAGCCTCAGGGTCAGGCAGTGTCAGTGTAAGATGCGGGCCATCCATGGCCATTCTCTTCTAGAAATGAGTGGTCTCGGCCGTAGAGGAGAAAGTGGCTGTCCACCCACCATGGCAGAGCGGCCCGAGGGGCTGGGACCGCATCCTGGTCAGTTATTCAACAAGCCCTTCCATGCTTCCACTTTGTTTAACCAGCAGAGGACGAGTCGGGATATGTTCTTGGGCACTGATCTTTAAGGGCTTCTGGAAATAGATCAGTGCCGAGAAGATTCCTGTAAAATTCCTCTCCAGCACAGCTGGGAAATGCAATGCGTTCCAGGCACGTAATTGAGGGGAGGCGAATAGAAGTGAGTCTTTTCTTCCTGTAAGTGACACATGCAGTGGCACCTGTCTTCTTGGTGTTTACCTGGTCAACAAAAGGGCACACCTAACAGTTTCTCAGTGCACGCCGCTGCTGCCATTTGCTGGCATGTCACTGTTCCGAGCTGTGTCCTTAGTAAAGCTTGACCTGGATTTCGTCTTGGAAGTCAGTCGTACATGCATCTTTGGGGTTATTTTAAATTGCAGCTTCCTAGGTCTTTGTGGCCTAATATACAGAGATCTGTCATTTTCTCTTTGAAAGTATTAGTACCGTAGTTCCCCCACATATCATTTTCCATGGTGTTAGTATTGAATGCAAATATTAAAGGAAAATCCCAGAAGTAAACAGATCATCAATTTTAAATTGCATGTTGTTCTTAGTATGGTGACCTGTTCCACCCGGGACAGTATATGGTATTCACTGGTATTATACTGTGGTATTATACTGCGGGTGTGTCCCACGGAGTGCCTGGTTGAAGTCCTGTGTGCACTTCCATTTCCCCTTCTGTTCATGCATGCGCTGGGAGAGACAGCAGTGGTGACTCAAGTGCTTGGGTCCCTGCCACCCAAGTGGGAGACCTGGATGGAATTCTAGGCTCCTAGCTTTGGTCTGGCCCAGCCCTACCTGTTGCAGGCATTTGGGGGAGTGAACCACTGGACGGAAGATTTCTTTCTATTTGTCTCCCTTTCTGTCTGTGTGCCTTTGCAACAAAAGTGAGAATAAAATAAATAGGGGCCGGCGTTGTGGTGCAGTGGGTTAAAGCCCTGGCCTGAAGTGCCGGAATCCCATAAGGGCGCCAGTTCAAGACCCAGCTGCTCCACTTCAAATCCAACTCTCTGCTATGGCCTGAGATAGCAGTAGAAGATGGCCCAAGTCCTTGGGCCCCTGCACCCCCATAGGAGATCCAGAAGAAGCTCCTGGCTCCTGGCTTCGGATTGGCACAACTCCAGCCGTTGCGGCCATCTGGGGAGTGAACCAGCAAATGGAAGACCTCTCTCTCTCTTTCTGTCGCTGCCTCTCTCTGTAACTCTGCCTTTCAAATAAATAAAATACATCTTTTAAAAAAAATAAAATAAATAAATTTAAAAAGGAGATAGAATTGTAAATTGCAGTTTATTTAATGGTGATGTTTTGCTTTCTAAAAATAGCCTAAAATTGGTCTCTTTCATAGAAATCCTGAATATATACTTAGTGAAAGCTGTTTTTTGTCTGCATTTCCTCCTGCAGCTGGTTTCAGCAGGCCATAGAGGGGCTGGTGCAGTGGCACAGCCAGTAAAGCCACTGCCTCCAATACTAGCATTTCATCTGGGCGCTGGTTCCATTCCTGGCTGCCTCTCTTCTGATCCAGCTCCCTGCTAACGTGGGTGGGAAAGCAGTAGAAGATGGCCCCGGTGCTTGGGTCTCTGCACCCAGATGGGAGACCTGGCTTCTTTCTGGCCCAGTCCTAGCCCTTGTGGCCATTTGGGAGTGAACCAGCAGGTGGAAGAACCCTTTCTCTCTCTGTAACTCTGCCTTTCAAATAACATAAATAAATACAAATAAAATAAAAAAGACTGAGTTAAAAAGAGAGAGAGGTCAAGAGTGAGCTCAGCTGGACAAGTACTTTTTCATTTCCGTGGGTGACCCTCTTGTTCCCTGGTGTGGACATCATGCTCTGTAGGTCAAGTCCGAGGACGTCTTCGATGAGTGGGTGTCCAGGCTGCGGCACCACCGCATGTACCGCCAGAACGAAATCGCCATGTTCCCCCGGGAAGTGAGCCACTTCCTCCCATCGTCCACAGCGACAGACCCTCCTCCTGGCGTGTTTGATCCTGTTTCCAGTAGGAAGGTAATGAGCGTTCTGCCAATCAGGAGTCGAAAAGAAGGGGGTGGCGTTGTCCCAGGGGGAGACCCATCTCAGGAGCTAGTCTGAGGGCAGAGGTTTGTAGGGAGAAGCAGGGCAGTGGGACTGGGGTTTTATTAGTCTCTGCCCAGCGAGGCTGAGCCAGGCCCAGACGGGCACCGTGAACAGAGGTACAAGGACTGGAGAACAGCAGAAGGAGGACTTTGGTGTCTCTGAACACTCCATCTCGCTCTTGACTGGCTTGGCGTAGATCTCTCATCTGATTACTACGTGCAGTCAGTACGTGTGCAGCCATAGTGGGTTGCAGACCATCTCTATACATTTATATCATCGTTTTGATGTTTTACCATTGGACACAGCATGGGAGGAAATAAGGTCTGTCCTCCAAGGCCAGATAGCCCGGGTTACCAAGCTGGGCTGACTGCCAAAGTGTTAGGGGCTCCCACGGAGAACGTTGCTAGAAGCTTCTCCAGTTCCTGGTACATGGTGTCCGTTAGCACCTGGCCCAGCCTGTGACCCCTGCCCTACCTGAAGTGTCCCCGCTGCATTGTCTTTCATCCTCTCCTGTGCTTTTGTCTTTGCGGAACAGCGCAGCAGTATATCGAGGCAGAGCTCATTTCAAATCGGAAGCAACTTATCATTTTCTTGTGGTGAGACGCGGCTTCCCCTCTGGTTGCAGTCTTCCGAGGACATGGAGAAATGCTCAAAAGGTAGAGGGACCGGGAGCCCCTGCTCCTCCCTGCCCCGGGGGCCCTTCTGTGATCCGGGATGGAGCTCGCCCCGGGGGCCGTTCCTGTCCTTCCCCTTCGCCCATCTGCACTCTTACCCGCGCTTAGCTTATTAGGGCTGCGTGCACTGTCAGCAGCAAGTGTTTCCCATGTGACCTCACCTGGGTGTGCGTGCAGGCAGTTTCCTCTTCATCGGTGAACACTGATGCTTCTTTTCCACATGGGCTCGTGAAGCACAGCCTGGGGTGGGGGCTTCCCAGCTCGCTCGTGCGCTCGCTCGCTCTCTCTCTCTCCCCAAGTGCCCCAAATGATTCCGATGCACATCCAAGACGGAGAGTAAGGATCCTGAGCGTGAGTGGGTGACCACTTGGAACTCCCCACCTTGTAGATGTTCTTTCCCCAGGCTGCACGTTAGAGGCATCAATTGAGCTTTTATGTACTTGTTTATTTGTAAAGATTTATTTATTTATTTGAAAGGCAGAATTACAGAGACAGGCAGAGAAAGAGAAGTCTTCCATCCATTGGTTCACTCCCCAAATGGCCACAAAGGCCATGGCTGGGCCAGACAGAAGCCAAGAGCCAGGAGCTTCTTCCGGGTCTCCCATATGGGTGCAGGGGCCCAAGGACTTGGGCCATCCTCTACTACTTTCCCAGGCCATAGCAGAGAGCTGGATTGGAAGAGGAGCAGCCAGGACTCAAACCAGTGCCCAGATATGATGCTGGCACTGTAGACGGGGGCTTAACCTTCTAGGCCGCAGCACCGGCCCCCAGGAGAGCTTGCTTCTAAAATGCAGGGATGCCTATGCCCAGGCCTTGCTCCCAGAGACTCTCTTTAAATTCGTCTGGGGTGGGGCCCTGGTAGCACTGACTTTCCCGGGTGATTCTGAGCCATGGCTGGGACCCCCTTCCATAAGGAAAGTTGGCATTCTCCATTTTGATTAGCAGGGAACTAAAAGACAAAAAAATCAACAGTGGGACTGGCAGCATTCTGATTCAGTTGATGGCAGGTGGGTCTTGGGCAGAGGCAATTATCAAAATTTCTCCAATTGATCTTTAATTTTATTATTTTGGAGGTAGGAGTGGAGAGGAGAGAGAGAGAACTTCCATGTGCAAAGAGCTCTCCAAACGGCCTGCAGTGGCCAGGGCTGGGCCAGGCCAAAGTCAGGGGCAGGAAACACCATCCTGGCCTTTTACCTGGGTGTCAGGAACCTGGTTACTTGAGCCGCCGTCGCTGCCTCCCAGGTTCTGCATTAGCAGGAAGCTGGAGTCAGGAACCAGATCCAGGGATTCAACCCATTCCAGTGCAGAACGCAGGTGACTCAACCACTAGGCAGAATCGCCTGCCCTGCAGTTGAGTTCTAGAAAGCGGAACCACAGTGGAGAGCCACTCTTGGAGAAGATGCCAGCTCCAGCCTTGAAGAAGGCAGGTGTTATTGCTGTCCAGTCACTGACACTTGGTCATGGGGTCCCTGAAGCTTGTCTCTGGGCCAGCAGCCTTGGCCTGGGACTGTACCAGAAATGCAGAATCTCAGGCCGAACCTAGATGTCCTGAATCAGAAAGCGGAAGTGGCTCCAGTGAGCTATGTTTTCATGAGTGCTGCACTCAACACTGGTGACACCAAGGCTTGAGAGCCTCTAGGCTCAGGCACTGGCCTCGATCCTCACCAGAGACATCCATCCACCTCCAGCGCTCCTGAGTCCGTGACTGGGATGTGGCTGAGACCACGCAGGCGGCCTTGAGCTCCCTCTGCTCAGGCTCCTCCGGTCCTTGTGCAGGTTCAAGTTCAACACAGTCGTGCTCAGAGACTGCTGCAGCCCTCAGTTGAGTCTCATCCATTGAGTGTATCGTGTCCTTACTAAAGATAGCAGCAGCCTGTTATCGCAGGATTAGGAATGATGGTGATGATGGTGATGATGGTGATGGTGATGGTGATGGGCACTAATTTATCCTTGTCACGTAGCAGACACTGTTCCCAGCACCCTGCATATAGCAGCTCCCTTACCTCTCACAGTTGTATAATTATCCCCACTGACCAGATGTGGCATGGAGAGGTCATTTCATCTGCCCAAGAGTCTCCATTAAGTGGATTCCAACTGGGACAGCGTGGTTCTGCAGATCCATGTCCTTAGCCGCTGCTGTCCACGGCCTTTTTTCTAGAAAAGGAAGGCAACATTTCCTACCACTCTAGATGAGAAGCAGTCACATAGAGGCGAATAAGGGAAGTAGCTTGGGGGCTGGCGTCGTGCTGAGTGGGTGAAGTCAGTACCTGCAATGCCTGCATCCCATAACAGAGCACTGGTTCAAGTCCTGGCTGCTCCACTTCCAATCCGGCTCCCCGTTAACATGCCTGAGAAAGCAATAGAAGATGGCCCAAGTGCTTTTACCTCTGCCTCCCCTGTGGGAAACCAGGATGGAGTTCCTGGCTCCTGGCTTCAACCTGGCCCAGCCCTGACTGTTGTAACCATTAGGGGAAGGAACCAGTGGATAGAAGATCTGTGTGTGTGTGTGTGTGTGTGTGTGTGTTCATACCTCTCTCTCCGTCTCTTCTCTCTCTGTAAGTCTGCCTTTCAAATAAATAAAATAAATCTTCAAAAACAGAAAGAAAAGAAGAGTAGTTTGCACCAGCCCAGCAGTCCCCCTTGTGACTGGAGAATCCCAAGCCATCTCCTCTTCTGCCCACAGACCTGGCACACTGCCATGCTTCTCTGGTGGAGATGAGTCAGTTGCTACAAAGCATGGATGTCCTGCATCGGACCTACTCGGCGCCAGCCATCAATGCCATCCAGGTTAGCGAGACCCCTCTCCTGCAAGCGCCCTGCCTGTCCACTCTCTCTTCTCCTCCCCAGTCTTTGACTAACAGTGGGGTGCTGTCTGGTCGGTTGCTTTAGCCAAACTCAAGGGGATGGAGGTGGCCACTTTGCTCTGTGTTTATCCCTGCTGGTTTGGTGGACCTTACTGTCTCTGCTCTCTTTCCCATTTTGAAACGAAGGGTGGCGCTTTTGAAAGTCCCAAAAAGGAAAAGAGATCGCACAGGAGGTGGCGGTCCCGAGCTCTTGGCAAAGATGCTAAAGGAACGCTGCAGGTAACCGCTGCTTCTGCCGACAGACCGCTTGGCGCTTTGTCACCGTGTCCCGGGGCTGTTTGACTCAACTTGGAGCACACAGAAGTGAGGACTCAGTAGTTGTTCTCCCTGGTCCCCCGGGCGGAGACATGGATTCAATCCCTTCCACTCTCTGGGGACTGGAATATGTGTGTTAGCAAGCCCTGGACAGGAGAGAAGATTTTGTAAGGGAAACGTGGCAGGAGGTTGGAGGAACTGCTTGGTTTCTCTGTATGTTTCACCTGCCTGCCCTCTTCCTGGGTTGGGTGGTTGGGTGTGTGCCTTGTTTGGTGGCTGTTGTGGCCGTGTGCTGTGACCCACCTCTCCTGGGGACGCTACGTGGCCTTGCCATCCCTCAGAGCCCCCAGAACAGAGTCTCTGGGCTCAGGACCTTGTGCAGACTCTCTTTTGCCTCTTACCACCAGTCCATCCCCCGTCCGAGCGTCGCTGTGTCATGCTGGGGTCTGTCTTTCCCAATGTATCTGCTTGGCCTTTGCAAATTACATTGCAGCATCATCAGAATCACAGTCAATTTCAAGGATTTAAGTGAATCATCGAATGTGCTCTTGGATATGTACTCTTTGGTTCAAGGCACTTTATGGGTTGAGGTTAAGTGCTTCTAAAGTACTGAGTATCCCAAGTGCAAATGCCGGGAGTCTCAGGTGCAAATAAAGGAACCGCTCCCAAACTTAGCCGCTACTAACAGCCGGGTACTGGAGGGTGCTTGCCACGGGGAAGGAATTGAGTGCAGTTGAGAAAACCCATCAGCTTTAGCTGTCAGTTTCAACCCGCAGTTTTAATGCTTCATCACTTCTGAAAGCATATGAGATTCCTCACGCATTTTCATTTCACAACAACCAAGTGGCTGCAGAAAGGATCTCCCTGAGTTTTTGTTTATTTTTCTTCTTACGAGTCATGACTCGGGAGAAAGACTAACCTGTTCAGGGTTCTGGCTCACTGCCCCAGTCCCAGAACCAAAGAAGCACTCGAAGCATTCGGGGACTGAAACGCCGTCTCTTGCTTTGGCATCGCTTTAGGTCCCTAAACCCTTTCCTGGCCCCGTAAGGCTGCATTCCTCCAATCCGAATTTGTCAACGCTGGATTTTGGAGAAGAGAAGAATTATTCTGATGGCTCGGAAACCTCATCAGAGTTTTCTAAGATGCAAGAAGATCTGTGTCATATTGCACATAAAGGTGAGTGGGCCCTGTTTCTTCCCGTTGTGTCTGATGACACTGGTCCACGCACGTCTGGACCTGGGGTGGCCGCACAGAGCATAGCGTGGTGGCTTCCTTTTCCGCTCTGTAACATTTTGGCCACCTGATTTCTATGTATTTCTTTGGTAGTGGAGACTATGTTGGCAAGAGGATTCTTTTTCATTTCTAAAGGAAGGCAAAATGTTAGAGATACAGTCAGCTCTCTGAATCTGTAGGTTCTGCATTCACTGATTGAAAATACCAAAAACATGTGGCCGGCGCCTTGGCTCAATGGGCTAATCCTCCACCTAGCGGTGCCGGCACACCGGGTTCTAGTCCTGGTCGGGGCACCAGATTCTGTCCCAGTTGCCCCTCTTCCAGGCCAGCCCTCTGCTGTGGCCAGGGAGTGCAGTGGAGGATGGCCCAGGTGCTTGGGCCCTGCACCCCATGGGAGACCAGGAGAAGCACCTGGCTCCTGCCTTCGGATCAGCGCGGTGCGCTGGACACAGCATGCCAGCCGTGGCGGCCATTGGAGGGTGAACCAACGGCAAAAGGAAGACCTTTCTCTCTGTCTCTCTCTCTCTCACTGTCCACTCTGCCTGTCAAAAAAAAAAAAAAAACAAAAAAACCAAAAACATGGTGCTGGAAGTGCACAGACTGTTTTGCCTGTCCATGCTCCCCAGGCAGTGCAGTAACAATAAAGATTTACATAGCATTCACATTGTATTAGGTATTAAGAGTGATCTAGAGATGGTTTAAAGTGTATGGAGGATATCAGGGCCAGTGTTGTGGCACGGTCAGTTAAACTACTGTTTGTGATACTGGCATCCCATACCAGAGTGCCTGGTTCAAGCCCTGGCTACTCCACTTCTGATGCAGCTCCTGGTTGATGCACGTGGGAAAGTAGCAGATGATGGCCTCAGTGCTTTGGCCCTGCCACCCATTTGGGAAACCAGATAGAGTTCATGGCTCCTGTCTGTGAACTGGCCCAGACCTGGCTGTTGCAGCCATTTGAGGAGTGAACCAGCAGATGGAAGATCTCCCTCTCTCTATCAGTCTGCCTTTCAAATAACCAACTAGATAATTAAAAAAAAAAAAAAAAAAAAAAAAAAAAAAAAAAAGTATGTGGAGGGTATGATACCAAGGATGACTGTAGTTCAAGTGCTACCCAATTCCTATGATGCTATCGAGGCATCTGTTGATACTATCTAGAGGGCAGTATGACTTTATGTTCCAGCTAGTTTGTTTTTTAATTTGCCTGTCTAGTAATTACAGTTTGAAGAATCCATTTGCAGACATTAACTTAAAATGTATCAAATAAATATGTTCACTGTAGTATTGTTTATCATACAAAAAACTAGAAATAGCACTGTGGTTTAAGCCACTGCATGGGATGACTGCATCCCATATCAGGGTGCTGGCTTGAGTCCCAGTGGCTCTGCTTCCAATCCAGCTCCCTGCTAATATGCCTGGGAAGCAATGGATGATGGCTCAGCCATTGCTTGAGTTCCTGTCACTCACATGGCAGATCCAAATGGAGTTCCTGGCTCCTGGTGCAGCTCTGGCTGTTGTGGGCATTTGGGGAGTGAACCTGTGGATAAATGACCTCTTTCTCCCTCTCCCTTGTGTGTGTGTGTGTGTATGTGTGTGCACGCACACACGTGTATCACTCTGCCTTTCAAATAAATAATCTTTTTTTAAAAATTAGAAACAAGTGTTCAACATCATTAGCCTTTAGGGAAATGCAAATAAAAACTGGATCTCTTAGACCTTGCTTCTGGCCACATAACGTGGTATAGTCACTCTGGAAGGAGTTTGGCATTGTGTAAAACTGCTCATGTATTTACTGTACAACCTAGTGGTTACATTTCTGGACATTTATCCCACCTGAAAAAATGATAAGCAAATGTTAAGAGCAGGTTTATTTGCATTGGCCACAGATGGGAAGCAGCTCCAGTTCCCCTCAGCAGATGAATGGTTAAATCCATACAATAGAATACTACTCAGCAGTACACAGGAATGAACTGTTGATGCCTGGATGAATCTCCAGGACATTACTCTGAGTGAAAATAGCCCGTCTCAGAGGGCTGCGTAGCAGATGGCTCCATTACCAAAGCACATTCAGCTTGACACAGGTACAGGGGTAGAGAAGAGACGGATGTCCACTGCCTGAGTTAGGAGCAGGGAAGAAGGAAAGGGCAGGAGTTAGGGCGTGATTATAAGGAGGGATCTTTGTGGTGCTGGGAAGCTCTGTGTGCTGACTGTGTGTTTACATGTCCACACGTGTGGCCAAATACACGTACACAGGTTAGTGTATTAGCATGTAAATCTGGCAGAATCTGAACAAGATCTATAATGTGAGTTTCCTAGTTTTTCAATTGTACCATTTTTAGGTGAAAGTGTCCCACTGGGAGACACTGGCTGTAGGGTACACAGGACTTCTTTATTCTGATTTTGCAACTTCCTATGAGCTCATGATAATTTCAAAGTAAAAAGTTTTTTAAAAAATTAGAAGGTCTGGCCCTGTGGCACAGCAGATTAAGGCCCTAGTCTGCAGTGTTGGCATCCCATGTGGGCACCCGTTCGAGTCCCGGCTGCTCCTCTTCCAGTCCAGCTCTCTGCTATGGCCTGGGAAAGCAGTAGAAGATGGTCCAAGTGCTTGGGCCCCTGCACCCACATGGGAGACCCGGAAGAAGCTCCTGGCTGCTGGCTTCAGCCTGGCCCCTGTGGCTATCTGGAAAGTGAACCAATGGATGGAAGACCTCTCTCTACCTCTCTGTAATTCTGTCTTTCAAAATAAAGAAAATAAACCTTTTTTAAAAAGTTAGAAATAATCTAAATACCCAGTAATAGGGGATTGGGTTGTGTTAAATGCAATATAATCGTATAGTAGAATACTCAGTCCAAATAATGGTAGTAGCTGCCCTATATTGAGCAGGCAACTGTGTTGGGTGTGTGCTAAATTCATTAAATGCATTGTTTGCTTTACTTCTGGCAGCCATGCGTGGAGTCGATATTGTTGTTATCTCCGTGGCATAGGTGAGAACTGAGGCCTGGGAAGCTAAGAACTCCCTGAGAGTCAGATGGTTTCAAGGCAGCCAGCCTGAGGCTTGAGTCCTACCCTGCTTGATCGCGAGTCTGTACTCCTCGCTTGGCTCCACTGCCCTTGGAGCTGGGATGGCCAGGGGATGCCATTTCCACATATTCATATATATATTTATAAAAATGTAAGGTTATAAAATAATGGGATAGACCCGATCCCATTTTGTGGGAAAAATAAAATACTTTTGGCATGTGTAGGCATACTGCAATGTCGGGAGGACCTGCACCAGTGCGTCGGTGATGGAGGCTGGGTGATGAGGACTTTCCGTCTCTCCACTACCCTTTTTTTCTATTCCGTGTTCATATACTGGTTGTTTCCCTTAACGAGAAAGTGGATTAAAAGGTGTTCAGTGGGACGGAAGTGCTTGCGGCCAAGGAGGAGATGCCTTCCTCTCTCTGGCCCACGTTTTTCTTCCCTCTCGTTACCGATCCCTTCAGCTCTCTCTTCCCTCAGCCTGCAGAGTCGGGGCCTGTTGGTTAGGAGGGTGGTTAGAAGGAAACCTTGTTGCACTTCTCACAGATTCCACCTGAGCCTCTTGTCCTCGCTGCCCATGGCTTTCCTGCAATGTCGCTGTGAGATGAGGGGTGCGCCCTGGCCCACGCTCCGCATATGCCCCCTTGGGCCTGCTCTGGCGTGGAGTCGGGTGCAATGAGGACTCTCTAGCTTTTGTGGGAGGAAGTTTCTGTGCAGCACCGTGACTTTTAATAGCACGAGCTGGCTTGTTTGGCAATGAGAAGCCATGCCTTCCTGCCAACACGAGTGTGCTGGATGCAGGTGCCTCAGCAGGACACAGGTTGCTCTGTTGAGTGGATCCATGGATCCTGTCCCAGAGGAACTCTCCGGCTTCTTGGAAGTCTAGAAGGGGCCCAGCCGGCTGTTCTGTCTTTCGGGCCTTGTGTGTGTAAAACAGCTGGCGGCAGAGCTGCCACCTCCCTAGACTCGGTCAAGGTTTGTGCTCTGAGAAATATCCAAGTGCAGACAGTGACTTCCACATGGAGGCCAACAATTCAGGCCTGTGGTTGTAGAAGGCGATGTGCAGAGAGGGGCACTTCTTCCCTCGATGGTCAGGGAGTGTCTTCTACAGCTGTCACTCAGGGCCACAGCTGGGCCCCGGGGCCATGACCTTGGCGTGCTTTCTCACTTTGATATGTTCGGATTTGTTCCGATTCAGACCCTCTCCTCCTGTGTAAGCCTTGTTTGGTCACAGACAGTGTCTGTTGTGCTTCCCCCACTGCGTCACTGTTCCATTGCTGGAACATTCCAGAACTGCTGGATGCGAGGCGAGAGTGCCACAGGTATAACATGTTCTGTGCAACCTTCGGCTTGCTAATGGCAGCTGATTTCTCCTGGTTTTGTAGATCAGGTGGTGGCTGATGATCAACACCTCCCCTAGTTTTTAGAGTCCTCAGTAGGGTGGTCATCGTGCTGCAGTGGGATCATCTGCCACCACCAATGCCTACGTCTCATATTGGAGTCCTGGCTTGGCTCTGTTTCCAATCCAGCTCCCTGAGAATGCACCCGGGAAGCAGCAGAACATGGCTCAACTTGAGCCCCCAGCACCCATGTGAGAAACCCATTCCAGGCTTCAGCCTGGCCCAGTCCCGGCTGCTACAGCCAAGTGGGGAGTAAACCAATGGATGCAAAAAGATACCTCTGTCTCTCTTCTCTCTCCTCACCCTCTCTGTTCCCTCCCTCTCTGTCACTCTGCCTTTCAAATACATAAATACATCTTTAAACAATAGTAAAATTCCTTGTTAATATAGACTGTAGATTCGATTTTAATGGCAAAGCATTGAACTAATTCTTGTGGATTCGTGTTTCTGGCTTTGTGTGGGACTGACTCCCACAAAAGCAAGCAATGAATGAAGTTGTAAATCCTGGAAGTTGTCAGTCATTT